TGGTGGAGGCCATCGCTACTAGGTTGGTGGAGGCCATCGCTACTAGGGTGGAGGCCATCGCTACTAGGTTGGAGGCCATCCCTACTGGTTGGAGGCCCTCGTTACTAGGGTGGAGGCCATCGCTACTAGGTTGGAGGCCATCGCTACTAGGTTGGAGGCCATCGTGAGGCCATCGCTCCTAGGGTGGAGGCCATTGCTGCTGGGTTGGAGGGTAGTGGCCCTGGAGTTCGCGATCGAGTACCCACGATTGTTTTTGTTTTTGCGACATGTATTCGGACGAAAGGCTACGATAGGCGATGCGGGCTATTCGTACATATTCGTACAACATAAACAGAGCAGCTGTTCGGAATCAAACGACATGGCACACCACAAACTGAAGTGATCAAAGAGCAAAAGGCATACCAACGACATGGCTTGCGGCTTGCATCAGCCAGGCGTCCGAGGCATCTCGGCCAACAAATTGCAGAAGTCTTGAGGGTCCTTATGCTTCATGTTCAGTAGTTGTTCTTGCTTGTTGAGCATCTTCTCTTCCCAATACATTCGATTGTCCCAAGCTCCCATGGCCCAATTAATGCGCATGTGGACTTCGGCATGGTTCTGGATACCCCGATGTGGAGGTGCTCCATCATGCAATGTCTCTCCAGAAACTCCCTGGATGAAGGGCAAACCGCGTGGTGGTTGCAGCCACTGAAACCCACAGCCATGTTCTACGAAGAGCTGGAAGTTCACTGAGAACTCAGCCACGGTCATGGGCCAATCACTGGCATCAATGCAATGACTTACCATGGCCAGGGACCGAAAAGCTACCATGAAGAAGCTAAGTGCTGGATCTTCCGCATGTGTTGAAGTGGTCTTGATCCCCGTCGCGCATGAGGTTGCTGACTCCGCAACTGCACACATGGATAGAAGAGACGCCATGCCTGCAAAACAGGAGAGATGCGCCAAACGGCGATTAAAGGCTTCTGTATGCAGCATTTCCGGATAAAGCCCTGCTCGGGAAAGCCCTGCCCAGCAGAATTCTCGCACGGCAACAATGTTGGAGACGTCCAGCGTCTGCATCTGACGAAAGAGCCAGCGGCATGTGGGCCCCTCCCTGCTGCACTCGATACCTGGAATGCCTGTTGCACTCTCAGCCTCTAAGCTCTGCAGGTATTCCGCACCTCAATGTGAGCAACAGCGGCGCACGTATTTTGATATGTGCTGATAATGACTCAACTGAAACAAGGGAGTGCATCATCCTGCTCCAAGTCCTTCAAGTGGATGTTCAATGACCAATGCAACTCCTATCTCACACCAACTCGGCAGTCGGAGGCGGACGTCTGGCACTCAAGAATGGAGGGACATGCTGAGCCCCAAACAGCAGCCGGAGAAGGTAAAGTCCTTGAAACCGCAGCGCACCAAGCGGAACCAACTGAGTCACTGTGACAGGGCGATATGAGCATGCTTTGAGTTCCAGCTCCACTAACAACTTGTCTTCCTGTCCTGGTGCGGAGGGAAGCACAAAGCGCGGCCTTCAGGAGACGTGCAGCAAAGCTCCGGTTGAAGACTGCCGAGCCAGCAGCTTTCTAAGTTTGCCATGGGAACAAACGCCCGCCACACCTGCCCTTTAACCGCTCTCAAGTATGTGCCACTGAGCTCTGATCAACCAGACGTGTGAAAGGGCTGTAGCTTCTAGACTCTTGTCCCCCCCACCCCTGTCCTTGACTTCAATTATTCTCTGAGATGATGAAGGTTCTAATTCGAACGGTGAATCTTGGAGCCATGCCACTGAAAACTATATTTCCCTGTCACATTTGACTGCTTCCAACTCAATCTTGTGCTTTGTCTTTCTTTCTGTTTCAATGCCGCGAGCTGAAAACAGGTCAACACATTGCACGCGATTGTAGAAGGCACAACGCGAAGTATGAATATGAATATGACACAAGTGACAAGTGGAAACACATGAACTGGCCAAACCAAGAAGCGGTTACGTACGGTTACACGTTTCAAATTGATATTAGGTTGGAGGCCATCGCTTCTGGGTTGGAGGCCATCGTTTCAACTGAATTGGCCCAGGAAGAGCATGAAATTGAAGCCAAGGTCGCCCTGGATCGTGGAAGTGTTGTCGTTTGCTGCCACCAAATGCGAAACAAAGCTACTGGGCAAATTGGGGAATCATGAGACTAGAGCTGCGCAGTCAATAAGTTTTTGCACTCAAAGTCGTAGCTATCTCGTCAGAGTGAATCTTCGTGCATCCCCTTTGTCAAACCTTGTCGTCTCAAATCTTTCTGGACATTGAACGGCCAAAGCCCCTGTAAAATCACACCCCTCTAATCCAATTTCACCGCTCAAAACCACTCTTTCTCATTGATGCTCCGCTCTTCTAATCTTGTTGTGGAATGTTCAAGTCAAGCCAGGTTTCGTTGGAGCACCCACTCTCAAGTTCAACGAATTGAATTTGTTTCTTCATGTTTCTTCGTATGCCCTTGCCGAGACAGCAAAGCACACGACATACTGCCACAAACAATGGGATGAAGTCCAATTGCCGGATGTCGAAAACTTTTCTGCATTTTCCACGTCAGCTTCTCTCCTGCACAGCGAGGCAAGTGTTGGCCAAGCAAAGCCTAGTATAGTCCCTACCTGGCATTTCTCGCCCAAAGCTTCGGCCAACAACCTCAAACAAACCAAAAGCAGATTGATCACATGGCGCAATCCAATGTGGATCATCGTAGGAAATTTCTGAAAGCTTGTCTACCAGAAAGCAAAGTGAAACACGATGAACAACGGCGTTCAAGAGAAAGCATTCCGAGCATTGGAAGTCTTTTGCAAGGCTTCCAGCCTGGAAACTTTGCAAGGCTGTCCGCCGATGACCACCTTGCAAGCGGATGGAAACATTCCAAGAAAAACAGGAAAAAGTGTGCATCGCTACTAGTGGCTTCTTGTTACTAGTAGTCATGCACCTGTACTAGTAGCGATGCGCTAGTAGCGATGCACCTTGTTACTGGTGGCATCTCCAGGCACCTTGCACTGGAACCTCCAAGCCCACCTGCTCGAGGTCTTCATTGCTACTTGGTCCCTGGCTTGCAATGCAGTGCTTGATTTGAAGCTGCACAACAACTGCTGGTTGAACTGCTGAGCTGATTTCTCAATCAATAATACACTTAACTCTTTCCAGTATATATATGTTATGTATTTACAAAAGCTCTGTTAAATAACGGCAGTGAACAATTCCACATTGAGACACAGAACATGTTCATCCTTCTTCACTCTTCAATTACAGTATCAATCTCGCTCAAACTGTTAAGCCTGAACGTTGAGCTGAGGGAGCCTTAGCTTCAGCCTTGGCCAAACATGAAACCAGCCTCTAAGTCTGAGTTGCTGTGTGTTTCTGCAACAGTTGCTCTAACACTAGGTCTGTGGCGCCATTTCCAAATATGTTGCGCCGCGACACACTCCAGACTTGATGAAGCCATGCACCTTGCATTGAAACCCAAACTCTCCATTTCCTTGCATTTCATGAGCGGAGTCGGCACTTAAATGCGACTAGTAACAAGTGCATCGCTACTAGGAACAAGTGCCTTACCAGTAGTAACAAGAAGCTATTAGTAACAAGGATGCCAAATTGTCCGTCCCGACGCGGCGTTGCACAGATCTGAGAGCCACGCAATGCTAGATGGTATTAAGCGAGGAATGCTAGGATCAGCATGAAGAACATTGCAAACCTCGACCACGCTTCATGCTACTAGCGGTGCACCTTACTGCTAGTAGCTTCTTGTTACTAGTAGTAGGGCATTTTGCCACTAGTAGCGTCCTTGCAACATCATCACTAAAGGTTCATGCTACCCTAAGTCCACCCGTTCAGGGCTGAGCTCGAAGTCCGCCGTTGGATAGGGTCTTGATGTCTACCTGCCAGGTAACGCACGGCCTTCCAGACTCAAACACATGAAAACAAAACACACAAAACATACATGCAACTTGAGGCGGACCATGGAAAATTGCAGCGGGGCATCTTTGAAGTTCTTGCCCTGCTTCAACTGATCAACCTGACTGGCACAAAATCCTTCCCACCGGCGCTGAGTGCTGGTCGAGATTCCACTCCACTGTTTGAGGCACGCAGGGCACGGTCTTTTTTCGCCAATCTCTACGAAGCTCAAGGGAAAGCGGATCTGAAATCTTGACCCCTTGGAGCACTGCAGGATTGACATACCTCCGGCGCAAACAACATAAAAGGCTTAATTTTTTGTACAGGGGGGTAGGCCGCGAGAGGAGGCTAGTATACTAGTATGGACGCAGGATAGCTCACGCTTCCTTGAAGAAGCGCTCGCACTAGACTAATGATTTGGTTCATTGATAGATTTTGGGGGAAACTTAACGATGGCCTCCAACCTACTCTGGCCCCACTCATGTCTTCGCAAGGAGTTGCAACAGTTCTGCAATCGGAATCAACACCATGCGACTATGTTCTTCAACCTGCTCCGATATCATCGCCGTCTGTATGGACATATGATTCTTTTTGGGGCATTCAAGGCCTGGCCTCGTGAGCGATGTTGTTGTGCTGTCTGCATTCCTCAGATCCCAAATGATTTCAGCGGTTGCACGGACTAATCGGACTCTGCAAAATTCTCGAAGGCCTAAAGTCCTCTCACAGTGGAAGAACCCGGAGGACTACGCCTACGCAGCCCTGGGGCGTGCGGAAGTGCCGAATTAACTTCTCCAAGATGCTCTTTTTCGGCAAATCCAATCTCCTTCCACGAAGCCAGGCTTCATCTTGGCGCAACTGTGCCGATTGCACTTCACTCCTGGCAATGTAGCGATCGTATTGGGGCTTTGGATGCCACTGCCCCCAGCACTACAGACTGAACTTGGTTACAATAACAAAAAGCAAACACAGAAAAAGGTATGAAACAAGAGAGCAATGCGACCGGAAACCAAACAGGCGTTTCTTAGTTTTTTTACATCCCTCGGATTGACGACGACTTGAGGAGCGCACGACTCTCAAAGTTGATGTTCCCACATTCGCAAGTCCAGTCACCTTAGTGTGTTTTTCCGGGCAACTTGTGAAGGCTACAAAATGGTCAGAACCAGACATGCCAATTCGACTGCTTTCAAAAGCCTGCAGTATCTCGAACTAACACATCCAGCGACCTATTCTTTACAGCATCGATCGATTGAGTTTGGGCACCCGCCTGCTCGGGACTGTGCTGGCGGTGTGGGACCGCCTCCCTTCCTAGGCAGCGCGGCACTGGCGCCCTTTTGAGCGTTCTTGGGACAAAGCGATCCCAAAGGTTCAGTGTCTTTAGAAAGCTGCAAAGCATTCGGACGCTACTAGGAGCAAAGGGCATCGCTACTAGGAGCAAGGACATGCCAACAACAAGTTGACAAAACTTCAAGCACTTAGAGGCAAGGTGCCCAGAGCCGCCTTTGCCTCGAAGTGGAATCTCCGCTCTGAACCCTCTCTCATATCAAGTCTCTGGTCGTGCTAGTTCGCTCAAACATCACGACAAATCTCGACTGGAGCTTGGAGCCAATCTAAGGGGCGAACCGCCCATGGGCACCATGCCATGTTCAGGCCTGCAAATTCAATTGAACCACCTAGGATAGACCGAACACTTCCCGTGACACGATGAAAACATGCAACACAACTCCCAAAGGGCCTGTAGGCATCATCGCCCCAACCCCAAGCGCTCCACTCATCCCACCAACCGTCTCCACCACAGCCGCCCATGCCGCAGCCATTACCACAAGCCATACCGTCGCAACCCATTCCTCCAGCACAGCCGCCCATAGGACCATAGCCGCCCATTTCACCCCAGCCCATGCCGCCGCCACCTTTTCCGTACCTGACCCATATTTGGCGCCAAGTTCTTGCCACAACACTAGGGTGAACTGTGGTGCTTTCACATGGACTAACTGAAAAGCCAAGGTGCGGAGAGCTTCTTGGCCTCCTTAGTGCATGCGCTGGCTGTTTCAAACTCGGTATGGCTTGGCTGGAACAACTGGACTGCATGTGGATCGAAACAAAAACAAAAGCTGCTCTCACGCATTTCCCACATCAATCACGCTCTTGCAGGCTATTTCAGGCAAGGGACCGATCACCTTTGGAAGCTGTCATCATTTCCATCTTCGAGGTAAGGTTCGCACTCTCTTTGGACGACTGGCATTTGGTGCACCTCGGGAAGTGGAAAGCGAAGCGAAGCAGGATAAAGCTGGCAAGTTTCTTGAAGCTCACAAAAAGGCAAGTGGCGACTCAGCAGCTGCCTCATTTTCCTCAGCCGAAACGAGGATTCAACACCTCTTTTTGATGAGTTCTCTCATGTTCTCTCCTTCCTGAAGCCTTGTTCATGTATTATTCATCCAATTCTGGAGTCCCACTGAAGAAAACATATTATTAAAAAACACCCATTCCCGAAAGCTTTGCTTTGTCCTCTTCATCTCCCAGGTTCAGCACGGCAATTGCTGCACATCCAGTCCCCGGGCTTCTTGCCATCTTTCATCTTATCGCAGCTATTACATCGGATGCGGCTCCTTGGTGCAACTTATATATTTACACATATATCATATATACATATGTATGGGTGAATATCAGCGGATCAAATGCTACATATTGTATCTGCATGCGAGTCAAGGCTCGCAAAGTTGTGGTTTCCACATTCGCACATCCTCATTGGGAACCAACTCCCGAACATAAAGCAGGCTTCACGTGACAATGGGAACAAGCCTTTGTGCTATTTAGGTACAGCTGGGTCTCACCAATGACCAATGATCATCTTTGGACCAACAGACAAAGCACAGGACGGACTCCCACTAGCAAAATGGAATGTAGTTTCTAGTTTTTGGTATCCTTGTGAACATTCTGCAGCCGACAACCATTGTAAGGGCGCTTGGCGGCACTTGTGGTCGGGACCAGCCCCAGCCGGAGAATCTTTGTCATTGAGGGCGATTGTGTTATGCCTTGTGCCTCTTGAAGCCAAAGTTCCAGTCTCCCTCTCGCATAAACCCTGAAGAGCTTTGACCATTTCTTCCAGGCATAGGCGTGCCGATCTCGCTCTCTGAGTGGGCATAAGCGCAGTTCTGGCAGAAGTGAGAGCAACATCCAAAGACCAAATGACGGGCAAAGCTTTCTATATAGACTCTGTGAAATCTGTGTCCTCTCCCTTTGTGCAAGTGCCGAATGAGTAGAACTTGCCTTTGGAGCGGCAAGCAAAGCTGGACAAGGTGTAAACAGTACAGAACTCGGAAACATTGACAGGTTCTTGGTCTAGGTCATGTTTCCTGAACCTCACCTCATGCCAAGGCACACATAGTGGTTTTCAGCTTTCCAGGGGCAAGGGGGG